AAAATTAAGATTTCAACAAAACAACCTATTTCACTGCTTTAATTGCACAATATTAATCACAGACAGGAGCTGTAACAGTTGTATCAGTTCACTGATCAGTCTTCAGTGACGTCGCACTTAAAAAGACTCTCCTCAGACGATTCTTCTGATGAACGTTCATCAGAAGAATCTTCGTTGAGATGAAGGCGTTTAGTCGGGACCCTTTTTTTGTAGGCTTTCCTTCTTTTCTGATTTGGCCGTCTTCTTTTCGCCCTGTCCCATTCCTTGATGGCATTGGTAGGGTCATAGCTCTCCATTGGTGGCCCTTCAGCCTGAATCCTTAAGATATCTTCAAGAGTTTGTTGGGAGAGTGAAGCTCTCTTTACGCTCTTCACTCGTCCCAAACTGCTGAAGAACCTTTCCAACACAGCATTAGATACAGGAACGCTAAACAATAAACGAATCAGCAGCAAAATGTTTTGCCATTGAAAACTTCTTGAAGAGTGGAAAATTTTAAACCATGTTGCTCTGTAATGATGGCATGATGGTGACAAATACTTTACAGTGTAGTCAAGCATGTCATGCCATTCGTTGACTACTTCGATTTGTGATGCCTGGAGTCCTTGCTGTCTGAGAGGTTCTTGAAAGTGGCAAAGGTGACCCAGAATGACTTGATCCATGGACTCGTTTCCACTGCTTTTGCAGTCCCATGCTTCGCAATTCAGGATGTCTACCATTGTTGCTATGTCATTACTTCCACTAAGGAGAATTTCTATTGCATTTTGCAGCAACTGCACAAAAGATGGAGCATGTTCCTTTAAATTTGTCATAGCTGTTTCCAAGTTTGGAAGCTCTACACCTTGATATTTGACATCGTCAATCTTGTCCAAATAGTGCCTAAGTGTTTGGAGCTTGTCTACGTCTTTCTTCTGAACATTGTTAAGCTGTTTCTTTGCTTTCGAAATGGCAAGCGAAACAGTCACAGCATCGACATCTTCAACTTGAAATGCCTGGCTAAGAACAGCTGCTGGTTGTAATAGATCAACAAAGAAACAGGAGTAGACGAACAGCTTACCACTTTTCCATTTTCTTAGGTAGCCTTTCAACTTTGCATGGTAGGTTGGTTTTACGGATTTGTCACAGCTTAATGTTTCCAAATGTTGAATAAATAGACCAAACTTGTCAACAAGAATCTTTAAAGCATCAAGCTTGTGGCTGATCCATCTCGTACCAGTGGCTCTCTTCGGTTTTACAGAACCCTCTTCAAATACAAAGGTCTGCTTGTATGCAGTATGGAGTTCGTAAAGCCCTCTCAGCCTCTTTGGGCTGTTCTCATACAAGTAATACAACCTCAACAATAGTTCGTCGACCTCTTTGAAATACGTATTGCTAAGAGCATCTTTAAGAGCAAGTTCTAATCGATGGGCCACGCACCATGAAAAAACGGACCAAGGAAATTCTTTCTTAAACAAAGCTTGTACGCCGCTAGTTTGACCCCTGTTTGTGCTACAACCGTCCCCTCCAAGGCCAATAGGGGTAGGGGGGATTTCCCCTTCCTGTGAAAGTCCCAAGTTTTCAAGTGACATCTTCAGTGCAGCTAGTACTCCCTGGGCATCCGAACTTCGTAAGTTTTGTATTGATAAGAACCCTGTCTTTACTTTAACCATTGGCTCTGAGTCATTACTTAATTCGGGTTCATTTGGAGCAGGATCGAAGTAAAGGACAAATACTGCCTCCTGTTCTGCAACAGCATTGTCAGTGGTTGAGTCAAATAAGACGCTATGAAACTTTGACTGAGAAATGTCCTTCGATAGCTTGGTAAGAACGTCGTTTGCCTGAAAGGATATAAACTCTGTCGCCGCTGTTCGGTTAGAGTACACCGTCCCATGCGGAACACCGTGCCTTTTCTCAAGCGCGATTATTTTTTCATATTTTGAGAGAGGCAGTTCTTCTTTAACCACAAAGTAGGAAATGTAAAATTTATTTTTAAGGTCTTCAATCTGATGTGAGTTAAGATTAAAATCCAACTTTTGTTGATTTTGCTCTGCTGCCAATGACGTTTCACCTTTCTGCTTATTGTAAAGAGAAAATGCTATCTTGTGGATATCCGATTTAGCATGGTCTATCACACTTGTAAGTCTAAACTTGGTTGAACCATCGATAAATACTCTTGAGAACTTCGGTCTGTTCTTGATCATGGGCTCAAACTGAGTGCATACCTTGCATTTCAATGCAGAACAGTAATTTCCCTTGCCAGTTTTTTCGCTATCATAGGTTAGCCACAACTCTGCCTGGAAATCAGCTAAGTCTTCGCCCTTCCACTTTTCAACGGTGGCACAAGTCAACTTTCTTGATGATGTCTTCGCACTATCAGTCTTCATCAGAGTTTCAGAGTTATCCACAGTGACACCCAACTTACTTTTCTTCACACTTGCGGAGTTATCCCAGTAACTTGGCGATTTCACCTCATCGCGTGGTCTCTTGATCGCTTTTTGGTGCTGCCCAACTTCACTTGAGAAATAACTGGTGATAGTTCCCTCTGTTGTCGCTTTCTTTATGAGAGATGGCTTGGGGTTAGCTACACTTCGGGAAGATCCAGGTGTCTTTGACTTTGAGTCTGCCGGTTTATGAGAGACCCTGAGGATAGCAATGAAATGGTTCGGTCCGTACCAGGTCCCAGGAGTTGTATCTAGACTTCCATCTCGTGACCACATGATGTATACAGTGCTTTGTGCCCCCTCATTCAAAATGCGTGGGAGAATCTTTCTGTGAAGAAAGTCCCTTATTCGACTGCCTACGTTCGGATATACTGAATACAGCGGCCTTTCCAAGACGCTGGTGAGTGCCATTACGTGAAACATACCACACCACACTCTCTCCTTGCAACCACTATTTGCCTCAGCTCTTATCGCTTTAATCCGATCCTTGCCATCCCAGGAAGCCATTCCACCAGCAGTCAAACACATGGTGAACAGTGTTTGTTCATCATAACCATTGGCTATACCAGCATTTAAATACTCTCGAAAAGCGGAGTGCTGAGAGTAGAAATCGCTATTGATGAAAAAGCTCAAGAGTGGTTAACAGTCGAAGAAAATGAGACAAGGACTGATCACCAACCAGAATACGTGAGACGGAGTGAAACAAACAATCACCATCTCCAGTCGCCTTGCAAGCAAGAAATCCGCTAGTTTCATCTTCCAAAATAATGTCCTCCGGAATAAGTGTTTGGCCAATCTCATCCTTGTCGATCATTTCTGGATTTTCGATTGACGCCTTTTGTTTTATCCAACGCGAAACTTGATCGTATTTGTTGGAGAGGGATTTACAGTAGCTTTGTTTTTCCTCGCCGAAACCTTGATCAAGATGTTTCTTCAGAGATATTAAATCAGTTCGTGGGTCGCACTGTAACTGCAAAAAATCCATTTTTGCCGTCGAACTCGAACTGAAACTCAAACAACCAAGTTATACCATCAAGAAAACAATCGACTCATACGCGACCACCGACACAATTTTCTCTCACGCTCTCTGTTTTCCCGCGCAAATGGAACAAACAGCTGTAATTGGATATGCCGAGTCAAACGTTTAGATCATGCAGATATGTCACGAATATCCAAAGCAATGTAAAAACTCACCCTGTTACTAGGCTGTTATAGTTTGTATATGCCCTTGGCAAACTAAAACTTCCTAGTTTTGGCTTTGTAGGGTTGGAATGTCTGTTTTACGATTGAAACTGTAAACTTGGAACAGAAGTGAACGGTGATGCAATCGTGACCACGAAGCGTGACTAATTGTCGTTCGTGTTTTGACAAAAGTGATTGTCTGTTTAGTTGGAAGCAATGTTATTTCAAAGCCTCCTGAGCGCACTGAACTGCTGTTTAGGTTAAAATATACTTTGGAATCTTTTATAATCTTTTTGTCTTAGAAATCTGCAACATTGGACCTGTATATACACATTATGTAAACGGACTGATTCGCGAATGCAATAAATTCCGAAAAAAACTTGGTGATTATTGCTCTGAATGGGTCTTATAGTCAAAGGAACAAAGTGAAATAAAATAAATAAGAACTAAACCTGAGTCAGGTTTCGTTTAATGAAGTTCATAAATTTGGAGTCTAGATAGTTTTTCAGAAGTGTGACTTCACAGAAACCAGAGCGCCCGAACCGGCATGTCTACAATTCGCCGCCGCGAAAATAAGCGATAAGCGTTATTGGCTTAAGAAATGGTCATGTTAATTTGTTTTTAAATTAAGACTAAATGAAAAGCTATCGTTCTAATAATAAAAAACTAACAGTTACACACACAACTCGGGTTATTGCCTTGTTACAAAACGGTGTTCGCTCATTAAAGTATGATAATTAAAAGTTTAATTTGGATCAAAAGTGCCCGGTCAGACCCTTGTAAAACAAATCTGGAATATTCTGGGAATTTCTAGAATTTTTCTAGAAATGTTACAGAAAAGATTTCTAGAAGTTTCTAGAATATACCAGTTTTCTTTTCTAGAATTTTCTAGAATGTTAATGAAACATGCTAATTAGGATAGAATCTGTCAGTTTTTTCCAGAAATCAAAATTTGGCATAAATCAGGTTTTTTTCAGCTTTTTCCAGCTTATTACAAAATGTCAGTTTCTAGATTTTTCTTGAAAATTCTTGCACACTCCTAAATGTAAGCAAGTGAAGACAGTGCATTCAATTCCAGCTTTTTCTAGCATATGCCAGATTTTTTCAGCATTATTCCAGCTTTTGCAAGCATTATTCCAGATGCTTTTAAATGTGTAACTATTCACAAATTAACTTCCATCAACAGTAAAACCATGCCCAACAAAAACAACAGTCATGACTTTCATTTTCCTAATGCCATATGTACTTATTTCAAATTCAATTGAAACATGTAAAACATCATTATCAGAAATATATGTTACATGTACATGTGATCTTTGTTTGTCAGTGCCCTGATCATGAAACAGTAACTTTAGAAATTTAAAACAGATAATAATTTTATGAGAAAAAAAGAGTGTTCATTCATAGCTTTCTGGGTTCTTGTCCTTTACATTTGGCCTTGTTGTTTTCTTTGCTTGCCCTCGCTTTCTTAAGAACCAGGCCAAGGTCCTTTCTAACAGATGACCTTGTGGCTGCCAGAAAATTTTTCTTTAACACAATACCTGTAAGATAGAAACAGCCAAATGAAATTAATTTAATGCATGTTAACTGCATGGTAGTAGATATGTTTGTTACCTCTATTTAATTATTAAATTTATTTAGTGACTATTAATAATTTGACTAGTATCTCACTGCAAAGTACTTAATCCTGGGAAATAAGATATTAATTAACAGAAAAATGTTCACCACATAGAAGCAATTTTAAATGGTGACACCAGATGCTGGTTACATTGTAAGATGAGCCGTGGTTTGGCATGACCAAACAAATTTTGGGATTTTGTTACCTCAACAAGACTTCCTCAGGTCAAAAAAATGCTACATGTATATTAAGCATGTTGAAAAAAGGGAAAAAATATAGAGAAATCTAAACTAACTTTCTAAAAGACTCCTTCTTGATGGACTCAGGCCTGGTCGTGATTCATACGCTTTGTTGCATTGAAAACCAGTGACTGAAGAGCTCTGCAGTTCATTGGGTGTAAACAGCTTTTTGGCTAGTGCCTCCACTGCTGACTTTCCATCTGTGGTGTCTTCGATTGACTTGACTAATGCCTCCTAAAACAACAAGAGAACACATTAAATAAATATTAGAACTCAGTGCATTTTATCGTATATGCGTCAATGCTTTTTAGGTATCTAAACTTGTATAAAACGGCTGGGTTTTTACCAGTCTTCTTTCTCCCAATTCAGGCTTCTGACAATGTACTGTAGTGTACAGTAAAGGAGAGATTCAGACAAGACTGCAAATCCAGTGCCATATTTGCACTCATTTCAGTGTATAATTAACTACAACAGTATGATCGTCAGATAGAGCATTTTCAATTGAGTGTCGTAAAACCACAACCAAAGTAATTACTCTGACCAATCACAGCAGTCATAAACAATCCAATGAACCAATCAGAGTACAAAGCAAACACATGAAGCTGCCACCAAGCGCGGGAAAACGTGTGTGAGCAGGTCTCGATTGGTTTTGGTATTACTTCTGATTGGTTAATAAAGTGGTGCAAGATATTTTTATCCAATCACAAAGTGTAGCGATACAAAACCAAAGCAATTGTGAAATTACTTTCAACACTCAATTGAAAACTGCTCTAATTATAAATGTAAAAACTTGTATCAGAGTCTCACAGCAAAGTACACATGTACAGTTTTAACATGTAGAATACAGTTTACTTATTAGTACATAATTTAAGTAGAACCCACTGGTTAAAAAATTCCCAACTATGACTGAATGATCAACCACAAAAACTATTTCTCCTGAAATAGGCCTGTATGTTTGACAGTCTACAAACGGATGAAATCAATATCATTACTAAGGAATAGCCTGTATAGCAAGTGTTCCCGTAAAAATAAATTTTTACACATTCTGGCCATGCAAAAGTTGGGGTGAGAGCACAAAATCGGAGGACGGGGTTGGGAATGGGGAAGTGAGGAACACTTGCCTGCAAACCCCACTATTTTGAAAAACCTGTTTGTCCACGAACGGGGCTTCTGATTGGTGCAGTGTGGTCATCTTGAGTGACAGGTTTAACAAGTAGCTAATAAATTGTCTTGTAGCATAGAAAAAACAGAAAATAACGAGAAAAGTGAAGATCCATTTTGAACTAGAAATAACTGTAAACAAACACAGCAGGACAGTCGTGTGCCGAGTAGTTGAGCTGAGTAGCTGCTGTGTTATATTTTTATTAACGGGAATTTTTTCACTGGCTTTGTTAACCGGTGTTGGATTCAATAAGTCAAAGCAAGCAAATATATGGATATTTCTTCTAATTTAAGTCTGCATTGTTTTGAAATGGGGAGAAGGTTTATTGATTCCATGAATCAATAACCATGTGTTTTAGTTTTTAAAGGAAGTAAAATCCTTCATCCAGTAATCTGTAATTGGCTATTTGACAAGCTGTCAATAGGGGGAATGAAATCAACCGTGACTAATTGGTGGATGTTTTTCAAAATCATGGGGTTTGCAGGCAAGCGTTTCCTCCCCCACCCCATCCTCCGATTTTTTGCTCTGGCTGCAATTTTGGTGTGGCCAGAATGTGGAAAAATTTGTTCGTACAGGAACGCTTGCTACGCAGGCTACTAAGAAAGTCATTTAACATTCAGATGTTATCTGTAAAACGTAGGTTAAGATTATCCATACCTTAGTAAAACCATTGAACCTTTCTTCATTTGGATCTTCTTTCTCTGCAACTTCATTTTCAAATACCGGTGCCAGTGCTTTTCCCTGTTGAATTCAGTTATTTTAAACAGAATAAGAAGCAATATTGAGCTACATGTTGTATTTGATTGTTCCTGCAAGATTCTAGACTGGTAAGGTTTAATGAATAAGGTCCATGCATTGCATTGTTGAGCACCTCTTGCAAAATGAATATTAACACTTTAGTATGTGATAAACAGAAAATGTATGTATTGAAAACCTAAGAGGAATTTTTTTTCTTCATCATTCTGAAAAACTTAAACATTAACACATAGTTTTGAATTCAACGCATTTTGGCCACTACCAATAAAAATCAACAATAAAGTACAATGTGGATTAATTCTAAATTTAACAATCTAATGTCTGTCCCTCTTAAAAATTTCAACAATTTTGTGATTTTAGCCTGCATAGCAGGCACATGAAAATAATAATATGGGTGCAAGAAAGAACAGGGTGTCATATCCTCCATTCTTTCTTGCGCCCATGGATATAATTTTCATGCGCCTGCTACACAAGCTATTGTGATTTATAATTATAAAGCTCCTTACCCTCCTTTGCTTCCTTCTCAATTTCTCGACTTCAGCTTCCAAATTGTTCAGTCGGCTGCTGAGTGACTGCAGCAAGGGTTGACAGTTTGGGCAAGGGTTGATGACATCTGATAATGGTGGCATCCCTTGCGAACTGTCATCTTTTTGGATGTGGCCTCGCCCTGTTTGCAACTGATGCAAGTTGATGGTGTTACGAGATGGATAACCCATTGGCACTTCCCATTCTGGCACATTATAGTCAGAGCAATGGCTTAAACTTCGAGAAATGGAGAACTCCTGTTGTGGAATATCAGGTGGAGACAACACTTGTGGAGGACTGGATTTGGAAGAATGGCTCAGTGAAGGACTAGTTGATACTGTATGAGATGAACCCATTGATGGTGAAGAGAACTGAAATCTTGAGGCAGGAGTGACAAGTGAAGGTGATGACTGCTGTGGTGGAAAGAAAGTGCCTTCCCTATTCTGTTCATTAGCTGTAAGTTGGGTTATTTTGTTGTGGATGTTACCGGTATATCTTTGCTGAAATGTATCCACAGGCTGATTTCGCAGGTTGGAATCTCTTGACTTGACTGCATCTGTGGGCTGTAATTGTGGTTTTGAAATGATCTGAACTGGGTCTGCTGTAGGTTGAGGGTTGAGCTGTACTGAGCCTGAAGGCAGGTTGATCTTATTTGCATGTACTTCAGCCACTTCCTCGACCTCAACTACTTCATTACTTCTACAACTCGCATGCTTCCTTCGCTCAAGTAGATTCTGCACCCTATTAGTATTTGACACTAAAATAATTTCACTATCGTTATCATTTTTCGAGTCAACTGCCTTCCTCTTCTTACTTGTGTGTTTCTTTTTATCTGAAATCACTGGTTCCTTGTCAACCAGCTCTTCGCAATCTTTAGCTTTCTCTGTCCTAGACTCTTTTCTTGCATGCTTTCTTTTAGGGTCTTCGCACTGAGAGTCATCATCCAACCCTGCTAGCTTTTTCTTTGAAGGTTTGGGTTCTCGACGTGGTCGAGGAGCATCGATGGCTGGCTCCTTTTCTTCATTGTCAACTGTGTAGGTAACCAGGTCAGTCACCATCTTATCTGCCTCTTTTTTTTTACCTACAATGTAAAATTAATAAGCTACTTACAGCTGCACCACACACATTTCAACTCATTGAACTTTCTCTATTTTATTCATTTATATAAGGCACGGAACTGAAAAAGAGGCATTGCTGTTGGTTTACTATTAACTCACTATTGATACAACAAGAAACAGTTCTTTATTTTATTACAAAGTACTCAATTTCTTTATCGAAGTACCGGTATTAGCCATCTAAACCACTACACAGACTCAAGTTTGGGATCTGGCAGCCTTTATTACAATATAAACTACATAAACATAATACATAATTATTTTGATTCTAATAATTCCTCTGGTACATAAATTAACAACTAGTGATAATTAATAGCCCAAACCCAAGTGTAAATGGGAGTGTCTTGTGGATGTCAAGTAGTGTGTGTATAAAGAATAGCCTTGCAAAGCATGTTGGCTGACCGAAGTCTAATAGTAAGTGGCATAGTGAGGTAAATAAGTATAGTGTCAGAACGCCAATCCCCAAGGGCTTTGATGAGTTCCAACGGCACCCCTGATTGGTATGCGAAAGATGCCCCACCTCGACGGAATGAGTGCCCCGCGTATGACTGAGGGTCAATACCCATGGTAGTTAGGTGGTCGCGTAGTTTAGAAATGAACATGTTATATGTGAAGAAGTGAGCAGTGAGTGAGGGGTAGTCAACCCAGTTGAAGGCTTGACCGTTAGCTGTAGTGGAGTTAGTGAAATGGAAGGCATGTATGATAGCCGTGGTAGGGCATAATTTGCTCCCGGGAATGCAGGGGAGTGGGATGTCAACCACCCTTTCCCTAAACTGGATGGTTTTGCTCCATCGAATGGTTACAAGTGTTCCCCAGGAGAAGAACCGAAAATCAGTTTTGGTAAGCTGCTTAGACGGGTCGAATTTCCTAGCAGACATAGGTAGCAGGTGGGATTTCCGAAACAGGCCATAGAACGCAACCAGACATATGGCCCAAAAAGAAGAATCAAAACTTTTAGTGAAATTGAGAGTTGCATGCAGTCGCAAGAGGATGGAGGGGGTAATGGGTAATTTTTGGTTTGGCGGTGTACCTATAGCGCGCTTAATGCCAGTGAGTAACGATTTGAGTGGCCAATTATTAAGTAGGGGGTTAGGTAACCCAAATTCTTTGTGAAGTAGGCCGATAATGTTTAGATAACTGCCGATAGATGACGGTTTGAGGGATCTGGCTAAGAAAGCAGCGTATTGCAGTAAGTGCGCCGGGTGGACTGGAACCGGGGTGTAGCCCATGTACGAACAGAAGCGGAGATAGGTGTTGCGATGAGTCTTGTAGGTAGCTTTGGTGGACTCGGCAAACAGTTGTGATCTGTATTGCTGAACTTCGTGGTTAAGTTGAGCCGCCAGGTTCGGGTCTCGAGGGTCTGCAAGAGATGAATCGATGCCCGTGAATAGACATATGCTTGGGTAGCGGGATGGCGTTTGCGAGATCTGGCGAAAAGGTATCGCAGAGAAAGGAATAGAAGCTAAGTAATCCCTTTGATTCGTGCATGCGTGAAATAGAATCCGCGAGGGTATTTTTGGCGCCTGGTAAATAAACCGCGGTAATATGAAAATTGTAAAAGGCCGAGAGCCAGAAAAGCGCGCGTAATTCCTGCATTAGAACATCGCTAGCCGTAGTTCCTTTGTTTATCATTTGCACAGCCGCTTGATTATCGCTGTGGATGACGACGCGTTTGTTTGACCATAACCTGCACCACCGTTTAGCCGCTAACACTATCGCCAAGGTTTCCTTGTGGTTAATGTGCAGTTCTTTCCATGCTGGGCTGTCCAGCTGAAAACTGTGGTAAAACCAGTCTCCCCTGAAATAACCACCGGCTGCTACAGGGCATGCGTCCGTAGCCACGTCTAGGGTTGGTAAATCGTCGAGAAACAGTCGTGTGCCGTTAAAAACGTTAAGGAAAGTAACCCACCATGCGATGTCGTCACGAAAGGATTGATTCAACCTGAACTTCCCAGCTGGGCGGAGGGCATTCATGGTATCAAGGATTCGTCGCAAAAAAGTGCGGCCGCCGTGAACCACGCGACAAGCCCAGTTCAATTTGCCCGCTAGCCGCTGCAACTGCTTTTTGTTCGCCCGCTGTTTGTTTTGAAATCCGATCACCAGTTCCTGGAGCTCGGTCAACTTGTCATCTGGTAAGGTCATAGTGCAAGCTGTTGTGTCCAGCTGAACGCCAAGAAATGTCAAATTCTGAGTAGGAGCTACGAGTTTATGGTCACTAAGGGAAAAGCCGAGGTCTAGAAGAAGCTGTAAGAGCGTGTCATACGCGAGCTGACACTGTTCCCGCGTAGCCCCTATGACTAAAAAGTCATCGAGGTAAACAATGATGTCGGTGAATCCTCGTCTGGCCATCATCCGACGCACTGATTGCGTGATGCGGTGGAAAATTTCAGGCGAGCTTTTTGCGCCGAAAGGTAAACGGGTATCATAGAAATAGCTAAAGTGCTGATCCCCAGAAAATTGCCATTTACAACCAGTTGCCGGAAAGTTGTCCGGGTGAATAGGTACCGAACGATACGCATGTCTAAGATCAATCTTGGCCATGTAATAATTAGGTCTGAGTAATTTGACGGCATCGTCGAGTGTTTGGAACTTAAATGATTCGGTAGAGATATAGTCGTTAACAGCCTGCCCGTGAGGCCGAGAGCAATCGTGAATTAGACGAATTTCGGATGAATTTGGTTTAGGAATAGCTCCCAAAGCGCTTATGATACGCGGTTTAACAGCCGACAATACATAATTGCCTTGCGCAATCTCGTCTCGTATAGTCTGTTCGACCTTAGGTCTGCTGACTGGATTTGTCGCCGATTTGTAATTGTCCATGTCAACATCCACAAAGCTAGTGCCCGGTTCAATTAATTTAAAGCCACTGCATACGCCATTGCAAAGAAAAACAGAATCCTCGTCGTCTTTTAGTTCCGAAAGCCAAAGGTCGCGTTTGAGGGGATTAGTGCCGATTGGGAGTCATGAACTGGGTTGCGTGTTTGGGGGCCCATCTAATTTGTGGGAATACCCGGGGTGCGATAAACCACATGCTTTCCCTGCTACTTTCCGGTTACACACGTGCGCGAAATTGCAGTTGTGAAGGGTACAACCCCTTGACCCGTTAAAATTGCGACAAATAACCCTGCCCTCTGAGGTGAAAGTGGCAAAACCCGTACGTGTTGAAGGTGGGTTAGGTTGTGATGGTTTAGCAATGTGAGCCTTGAATATGGGTTGCAACATGACCGTGTGGAGGTGGGGCGAGTCGAAGCTCCATTGAAAATTATAAATAGCCTGCAATTTACGAAACTCATTGTCGTAGAGAAGTATTGAACGCCACTCGTACTTAGCAGATAACTCCATTATCTTAACAGTATAGGCGAGGTAATTCTGAATTTCTACTTGGTTAGGTAATTTGCCCTCTGAGAGCAATGTATAAAAAATGCGGGTATTAGCTACGACCCACTGTGACAAACTAACAGTTTCTAATTTGGGCTTTTTGGGCCCATAGGTTACAACAATTTTTGCATGTCCTTGATTGCCAAGAGTTTCTTCCTCATCTTGAGGGACAATGTTATTAACAAAGTCAATTATCAATAAAGGTTTCTCACCCTTTGCCATTTTCCCTGGTTTCAGGAACATTTCCGTGTTGTTAGCCGGTGATTGCCATATCGGGGCACGGTTGAAAGCTTGCGTTGGCCACGTGGCACTATTCATTGGTTGGTCTTGCAGTGGGTCAATGGTTTTGAGAATCTCGTCTAGAGGCGTTTTCCCCCCAACTGCACCATCGAGTTCCAATTTTGATAGATCCCTGGTGGTGAAGGTTCCGGCTCTATCCTCAGTCTGTAAAGGGCTGCCTCGATGCAATGCTTCGATTGTCTGCCTTTTCTCTGCAATCTTTGCGCGAAGTCTCTCCTCACGTTGTTGTCTCCGTACGGCCTGTTCCTCCAGTTCGAGGGCCTTCAGTTCTTCCGTTAGCGTGGCCATTACGTCCTCTTCTTCGAGTGGAGACGCGCCTTTGACCTCTCTCTTGGGGGAGCACTTTTCAAAGCCATCACAGAATTTGGAGGGGATGCCCCAATGGTGATCGTCAATGGGCGTTTTGCAGCCAGTGCATCTAGCCACTCTTTTTGATGTAGTTTCCATATTGATAACGGACTCACTGTTGCTGTCCATGATTTGCAATTTCTAATCTCAAGGCTAAAATGCCGATAGTTGTATTAAAGCTTGCGGCTTGTAGATGCGCTTGTGTAAAAGCTATGACTGCTGGTTGTATCGGACTAACTTGATACACCCTGGAAAGTTGCGTAAGGCTATCTGATTGGCTAGTGTTAGTCTTATGACTATCACGGAACATACTTTAAGTCTTAGTCACAACCTTGTGACCTTCAGGCACATACCATTGTCCTAGTGTAATAGCCTGGATAAGATGTGGCAAGTTGGCTCACCAGACCCGGCTCCCTATGCCCGTCGACAGGTAGCGGTCTAGACTTATATTAATAACCAAGTTATCAATATCCACGAATGCGACTTTTTGTCGCTCCGGGTTTTCTAGTCTACTTGCTGGTTTATTGTTCTATGTTCTGTTGGAATCCCAATGCAAAACATTTGAATAAACACAGTGAATGTGTGAATTTTATGTAACAATATTTGTTTCTCTGGTGTTTCTTACATGTGCATCATTTCTGAAGGCTTGAAGTCACTCAAATGGCTTCCCATTGTCAATAAACTTTTTTTTAAACGGTACACAGGTGCCTAAATGGATGAGCGACAGACTATCTTAGTCAAAAATCCACACGTACATGAAGACTAAATGTTCATGACAGAAATACATGACATAAGAAAGATTTGAAATCTACCGAGATGCAGATTAAAATCTGGGCAGAGGATCTTTTGCCTCTTGAGGCGCTGCACGTTGGAACAGACTCCTAAAAGATCTTAAAGAGGTAGATGACTGCGTTGGA